ATAAATGATTACTCTTTCGTATGTCACATATAAATCATATACAAATTCTTCTTATAAAATATAATATTCTGATAATAAAAGGACCTCTCCGTTTCCATATGATATTTTAATGCAAATGTATGATGAGATGTGTGCATGTTTTATTTGTTTAAATATTTCTGTATTATACGAACACGTAAAACAGAAATAAATTCTATCTTTAATTTTCTCGCAGAGTCTAAAGTGAATCTAAGAATTTATTTTTCTAATATTTCGTCTTACACACTTTTATAAAACATCATGTCAATGTTCTTAAATGTGAACTATTCCATTCGTTAAAAATAATTAACAAGAAAATATTTCAATTACATCGTTGAACGCGTAAGAAATATATAATTATTACGCGCACGACTGCACTTGTTTCCGCGGTTTCCAACAATTTGTTCCAAATCGGAAAGTTTAACGCGGTGATAAAAGCGAACAAGAGAATCTTCTTGCTTCGAGGTATAAACGGAACCGTCTTGTATAGATCGTTTTACCGCAAAACCGCAAAGTATGCAAAGTTATTTTCAAAATAGCAGCTTTAAATGTAATTATATATTTCCTGTCACATAATGTCAAACTCAAAAGTATGTAAAATTTCTTTTAAAAAGTAAATTGACTAAACTTTATGAAAATTAAATTCTTTACAATTAAGCATACATATACTACTTTTCTTCTTTAATTAACATAAAAATCTAATTTTCAATTAATTTCTCAACTAGGTATACTCCGGATACATTAAAACTGCTAAATTTGTGTATGTAAATAATAAATTACCAAAGCATAATGAAACCCGAAGAGATGGAGGAGTGTAGTTCGTGAGAATGTAATATCGTGAACGCTTTTCGACCGTGTGATCCACGGACGATCTGGCAACAACGGGACCCAAGAAGCAGCGATCTTGCGGGAGTACAGACCTCGTGAGACAGAGACGATGAACACGAGCGAAAAGAGGAACCGTGTAAGTCCCAACCGTAGTGCGACTGAGTTGAGAAGAAGGTGGGAGGTGAAAAGAGAGAGAGAAAAGCAGATCGTTGAGAATGCCCGAGAAGCAGCATAGTTGAGCGCAAGGGTCTGGTCCAGCGCTTCTGAGACGTGAGTGAGAACCGCTTAAGTTTTCCCGTAAACCTTTTTTCTCCCAGAGTTTTTCTTTGTATCGAACAAACCAGAAACGATCTAAAACCAAGGGCTCTGCAGCAGCCATACGACAGAAGAGATACGCAGTATAAGACCTACCATGATATCCATGTGATCTGCTCCATTGGTTCCTCCGCTAATCTCGACTTGCACTTACCTGATCCGGTCGCCCGTAAAGGTAAGCATCGCTTTATCTAATCGATCGCTCGCGTTATTGAAATTTTTGAAAATTTTAACGAAGAAACAATAACGTTTCTTAATTTATACGTTGATTTATGACGTTTTTAAATATTTGACGTCTAGATTAATTTTGAGAAATCGTGCCTATGTCTATTATTACCAAGTAATTTTTACAAACGGATTAATTATTTATGATAGATAAATTTTACAATAAATTTTTAAATAGATTAAGTTTTGTTCTTTTCTCGAACATCAGAAGATTGTGAATGATATAATCATAGATTCTCTTAAAGATTGAGATAAATTGTTAATGTAATTTATTAAATTAGTTAAATATAGATTTTGAAATCTGATTTATATTTGGAGCCAGCAAAATTCACTTATATGTATTTTAGTAGAACCTATTTATAATAGACATAAGCACACATAAATTTATTCAAATATGTTCAAAAAAAAAAAAAATATATAAAAGTATATATGAAATAATATATCTGAAATTTTTGCGTTCCATTAAAATATCTGCATCTGTATGTGATGCAATAAATTAAATAATAATTTATGAAACACCGATAAGAAACGCATATATATATATTAAAGATTTGAGCGCTCGTAGCGAAAAGCAGTAACGATTATTTTACGTGTGTGTGAAGCTAGCATATTATTTCGTGGAAGATCAATAGTTGAGCGTTCTGGCTTTATTTTTAATAATTCTAAAGTTTTCAAAATTCAAATATAGATGTGAGTTGCTGAATGTATTAGCGGATAAAAAAATTTTTCAATTATTTCTATAAAAATTCTTTGGAAAGACATTCATATTTAGAATTATATTAGAATTATTTCATAATAAAATAGAGAATTGTGGAAAATCAAACGGCGTTTTATTTCGATATATTCAAGTAAGAGATTTGCTAGTGTTTATTTTTTTAATTAATTTTTTTAGAAGACAGAGAGAGAGAACTATTTTTAGAATTTTTGTAAAACTATAATATAAATTTTTTAAATTTGAATTATTATTGATAAAAGTATCATAAAATAAAATGATATACTACGTGCAGTTGGCATTTTCTTTGGTTTAATCGCCAGAACTATTTTGTTTAAACTATCAATATAATGACTCTTAAATATTTCCACAAGTTTCCACGCAAAGAGACGCTTCACACACCACTATAGAAATGTTATAAAATAAACCACGTCTCACTCACCGATCGCCGATACCTGCAACAACGGAGTTGTAGTATGCAGCACATTTATCTGAAAACAAAATATTCAAATTATGTATATACATGTGTATAGGAGATGAATCAAGTAATTTTACTAATAGCGAATTAATGATGTTATAAATTATATTTATTTTGCATACCTTACAGTTGCCCCGTTGTCGCCCGATGCCTTCCTGGGCTTCCTCCTCTTGGTCCTTTGTAGCACTCACGACACTCGCGAAACCGAATTACAATCGCCCGACACTTTACACGGTACTCCCGACACGCAAAACTTTAAACGGCACTCCCGACGCGCGACACTTTACACGGCACTCCCGACACGACGCGTGAATCGCACTGTGTAATGCTACCTGTAACAAATAAAATACATACATATATTAGAAACACTTTATTATATACATTATAACATACATAATATAAATATGTAAGCTAGAATTAACGATAGATATATTTATGGATCACAACACATTCGCGCGCGTGAAGACAAATTAGGTTACAAAAGAGTTTGCATTGAATTTCTTGCGAAATATATATGTTTATCGAACAATACCACTACATATGAACGTTGACATTATGATATGCGATTGATAAATATTACAATACAAAGAAACGACTTGCTTGAAATACTTATACTAATTCATCACAGCGGGACACAGCTCGAACTGTCTAGTACTCGCGGCGTTTCGGTAATAGCTGAGACTATTCGCTATTCTACAAATTTTTCAGGCATTCATTCTAATAGTGCGCGCAATACTTATATCTTAATAATTTAATATTAATTATTAATTAAAACTCGAAAGAGATTCATTCAAAAAGATATAGCTTTAGGATAAGTATAATTCTTGAAAATCAACTGGCGTCTCATCTCAATATCTATAGATTTAGGTGTCTTCATTTTAGCTCAATTAATTTTTTTTAGAAGGCAATCTTCAGATTCAGATATCATAACTTCTGAAGTGTTAACGTTACGCGTGCGTTGAGTGAAGTGATCTTCTGCCGTCCTGCTTCCGACTTTCCTAACCAGCATTCCGTCTCGCACAGCAGAACTCTTTAGAATTTTTGTAGAATTATAAATTTTTAAATTTAAACAATTATTGAGTACGTTTACACGGCACCCTTAATCGGGTTTAATAACATCTATAGTTGTAAAACTGGTCAATCACAGCCATTCACCTGAAGAATGGAACGGCTGTGATTGGCCAGTCTTACAACTACGGATGTTATTAAACCCGATTAAGGGTGCCGTGTATTTGACCTTATTGGCAAGAAAAATCGTCGTAAGACAAAGTGCTGTGTAAAGTTAACATTTTCTTTGGTTTAATCCCCAGAACTATTTGTTTAAACTATCAAGAATTCTATAGAATTATTGAAAATAGAGCCAGAATTCTCAATTATGTCTTTCATTGAATAATATGCTAGCTTCACGCACATATACCAATTTTACGCGTACATATTGCCCCATAAATTTTTGTCCGCATGGTGTAGAGGCGATCTAAACGCTAATTAGTTCTTTATGGAATCATCAGAGACGGACGTTAGAGCATCTCTGGCAATGACATTTTAATCGAATCACATTGCCTGGAATGCGATACGGCGATACGATGGTGCGCCGGAAGGGTAAATGACTGCCGCTGATTGCGAGCTCTCGTGTCATGGTACAATCGACGTCCGATGCGTTCGAAAACTACAAAACCCGAACTAATTAAAAGGGAATCAAGGAGACCCGGTCGTCATTGACGCCGTCGAACAGAATTCCCTCTCGGCCGCGCGCCGCCATCGACCGAACGTATCAACGAACGCGCGCGCAAATTAAATATTAATAGCGCAATTAGCGCCGATTGTACCTTAATCGGTTTTGTCGCTTTTTTCCCAACACCCACAAACGTTCGCGACGCGTCGCATCCGCAAAAAATTCACCCGCGTCCGGACGCGCCGCTATCCGCGCGCGTGGGCGCAACTGTCATCTTCTTGCCTCTCTTGTGCAGTTCTATTAATTTCGGATTATCGCAAATTGCTGGCGTTGTTCTTCCGTTATGAGATTTTCCCGGCAATGTGGACGCGATAAGAAATAAATGATAAATTAATGCTCCCTTTAGAGCAAATACGTTCTTTGGTTATATCTTTGAGAATTGAATCTCAATTAAATATAATAGTTTTATAATATTTTTAGACAAAAAGGGCCACAGTACTTTTAAAACTTTTTTTTAAAGAGAATAAATATAAATCTAAATTAAATATTTTATATTAAATATTAATATAATGAAATAAATTATAATGATTTATGTCTATGCTTTTGATGTGAGAATCAAGTGGGATTTGAACGTAAGGCGAATATTTATAGCACGGCCGACAAGTTTGTGCTGTGGAGGATTTGTTTTGTTAATTACTCACGCCGATATTACTTAATTCACTTTTGATTAACGATCGTCTACATACAGGGACAAGTACGGAAACAATGGGTACGAGGGCCGTTGCCGTTGCGGCGGCGGCAGGTGCTGCCGGGATGTCTGGCGAGGCAGGGTTGGCTGGTGTACCGAGACTGTTGGAAGATCTGGCGCGACTCTCTGAGGATAAGGACTCAGCTGATATCGTGTTTCTGCTAGGGAGGGACGAGACCCCAGTTTATGCCCACAGAATAATACTTCAAGCCAGGTCGGTCTTAACGAGCCATTATTTATGAAAATACATTAATTCTACTCTACTTAATTTAAAAAGAAACAAGAAAATAGTATCCCTCTCACGAGATTTTTAATAAGTTACGTAAGTAGCGAATGAAATTTCTAAAATATATTCCAAGAAAAACTCCGGCAATATATTTAAATAAAAATATTTAAGACGTAGTCTCTTAAATAATTTAGTAATTATATAATTAATATTCATAAATAAGAATATTTAAATCCATATGCCTACGTTGTTTTAAAAATGTTAGGTATCACAATGTAATTACGATAATTAGAAATACCAATTAGAGATTTATTGGGTATAATGCATCCCGATGAATTACTCGTGTGAAATTCTTGAAGAAATGATGTTTCTATTGAGTAGTTGTTTCGGATATTTTCCGATATCGTGCAATTCGCATTACGAGGTTATATATAAGTTACTTCGATAAATAAAGAAGTGTGATGTGCTCTGGGAGTATTGGATTATTGTTAACAGTAATTTTTATTTTAATATTCCGTCGCGCTATTTTGTCGATCGAATTGCCACTAGTGAGATTTCCTCGGAGAATTTAAATACTCTGTACAAATTTGCAATGAATCATCATGGGAGAGTCAATATCGAGATTTTAGAATGCATATGTGCTATTGATACAGATAATATTTCCGCTGCAAATATCAATTACGATAATTTGTAACGTCAATATATGCACCGTGAAGTGTTAAGTTTTATGTAAGATGAAATAGTTTGTATGTAAACGAACATTCTCTTGCAAATCTTTAATGACAATAAGAAATGGCACTACTTAACGACTAATTAAGAATATTAAGGTAAGAATCAAAGTCGTATTTCCGTTAAAAAAAACAAAGATTCCTTTTCACGCGAACTGCAGATGAAGCCAAGAATAAAGTTGGCCGTTCTTAATGCGCAGAAAATAATATTATTAAAAAAAATGGAAAAAAGATACGATTGTCGAAAGAAGGCAGCGATTTATTGAACTCTTCCGCGCTGAAGTTCGTGCGACTAATAAATTTTAATTAAGGGCATGTTACGGCTTATGAAGATAGTCACGGCGAAACGAATCGATCGGCTGTTCTAATTAGTTAGACTGAAAGGAGCGTTCTTTTTTCTTCCGGAACTCTACGTCGCTTCCATCTTTCGACGCACTTTCGTCCTCTCCCTTACCCGGATTCACAAGGAGAGGTGCTCAGTTGATATTTAGGGGAAGGGTGAACTTGTCCGAAGGGTTGGCGCATCGTGAGACAAGACGGCGCTAATTGTAAAGTCAATTATGACATTTCCGTGAATCCCTTTAATATCGGGCGCGGAAAGTAACGGCGGAGCCTTTGTCATCGCGCCGTCATTTCCACCCTCTGGTACTCTCTCTTTCCCTCTTTATTTCTATCTCTATCTCTCTTCTGCTTCTCTACCTCTCTCTCTCGATTTGGCCATCCGCCAATGCGAACCTGGGAAAATTAAGTTACGCGTGCTCGTGACAGATGTCCGCGGTCGAAACGAATGGACAATGCATGCTACCGCGCGCTCAAACTCTTTACGACGCTCTTCCGCATTGAAAATCGTGATAAAGAGACGCGCACTCGAGAATTCACCCGTCAGCGATGAGTACCGGCTAAAAAGGCGGAAATAAAATTTTCTAAGAGCGTATTACTGTTCCCTCCCCTCGAGTAGGCCTCGGGTAATCTTCTTCGACGGAGTTCCGGCGGAGGATATTAGAGCACAAATGTAAATGGCAGGAAAGTTGAAGTTAAACGATATTGTATAATGTGTGTGTCTGTATAAGTGCAAAAAGAGAATATAATTAAAATATCATAGCGATATTTAAACAGAAATTTTTACGATTATATAATTTTCAAAATAATTTAATGTTTTTGGTCTTGTTGAGTTTTTGTAAAAACTTCTACAAATTTTTTTCTTCATCAATGAAAAAGATCGCGTTGACAATTCTATTATAATACAATTACATTAAAATAGTACTGATAATTGATTAAATGGAATAAATGACATTTATAGCTATTTATGTATATAAAAACGTATTATATGAATTGTAAAAAATGTATCTATTTATATATATGAATTGATTATGAAAATTAATTATTAATAATTTTTTTGTCGAGTGGCAAAACAAATTTTTCGTCAAATTTCAGCATGGGGGTAATTTTTTACATATTATTTTCGGGTTATTCATAATATAATATCGCAGTTTACAAAATACTAGTTTATTTGAATAAACATCATTTCATCCTGTCCTGATTTTATACGCACTGTCAACACTCTCGAGTTTCGTGTCGACAACTCGAAACTTTACCACGTCCGTCGAAAACGCTCAGCTTAACTGAGACCGGAGCGCACGGCTGTATTTTCGCGCTTTTCATCCACTTTACCTCCGGTTTTCTCACACCATCTAGACGTTTCATATATTTTGCATGTTCCTAACGCCCGTTTGTGACTATGCTCTCTTAAACTGAATCAGGGAAAATGTTATTGATTAAAGCAGTGACAAGATTTTTAGGTCGCGATAAAGTATTTGTGAAGTGTAAATATAATATTTATTTTCCTACCGCTAATAAAAATGAAATTAAAACAATACTAGTGTATTGTGTTAATGAATGTGGCATGTTACATTATACTAAATGATACTAAAGTCAATATATTAGAGTCATATAATCTTACAGAGAGTATTCTGTGAAAAGAAAAATTATTACATAATAAGCTGAATTTAAAAAAAAAGCGAGGAGTGCTCGCGAAATAGCGGACAAGCAGAATTATACAAGAGCTATTAACGGATTTAACTTCCGAGCATCGTTATTGAAAGTATGAATTATCATGGATTTCTTTTTCTTTCTATGGAACTGTCTGGCAAAATTAATTAACGTTGCTAAGACTAAGCGGAATAAAAACAAAGTCTATTTGAGTCGATTGAAAAAACGAATCAATTTACGCTAGTCTGTCCTGCGTAACCTCGCTTCTTTCTGTTTTTCTCCTTGTTGGAAAACACTCTACTTCGTAAATTCAATTTCGTTTCGATATATCGAGAAAGTCACAATAGTATATATCACTAAAATGTCGGAGTGTATTTTTCTGAACACGACGTTTATTCGATTTTTCATTTAATTATATATCAGTTCTCGTTTCAATAAATTCTATGCGATATTATGCTGTTCATCGAATAGAATAGCGATATGTGAAACGTTTGCCTTTGTGTGCCAGAATTTTATACAAACTCAATGTCAATATTTGAAATATTGCTGTGCGCGTCCACTCGAAGGTGATAATAAAACAGAAACTCGATATTTGCTAGCATCAAATATAGCTTATTCATATTTAAAGAGAAACTATCCTATTTTTAAATAATAATGAATCTATAAAGCATTAAATAATAATGAATCTATAAAACAACAAGTTTTTATTACATTATTAAAACAGTTTATCGACCTATTTTATCTCATACCTCGCATGCATGTTTGTGTTTATTACAAAGATAGTTTTATCGTATGATTCGAAGGGTCTAGCTCGAACAATTAATGGATTATATGAGGGACAGAGAAAGAGAACGGGAGGGATATCCTCTTGATCAGCGTATTTTCATTCACTATTTTGTTCCCGGCGTAGTGCAGATACGTGACGCGAGGGTGCTTCTGAAGGTTGCCATTAATTTCTAAAGGTAGGAAGAACACGCCTCTGCCACTGTACCTCGGTTTCGTGTGTCTCTATAGCTTCGTGACGAAGTCAATTAAGCTCTTTCGTTACGAGAGCGTTGTGTGAAAAGTAGCGTATATACGAGAAGCAGCGGAAAGGCGCTTGTTTATTCTGAGAGAACAGGATAACAGACTGCATAAAGCGCAATGCAATGTCGAGCAATAGAGACACGTTTGTTTTCAAAAATCATTTTGCAGGTGCAAGAATTTCACGGCCGCCAAGAGAATCGGCACAGCCAGTAATCCAACACCGGTGCGAATGCCGCATGCACATGCGGAAACATTTCGTCAGTTTATTCGTTACATCTACACTGGCATGGTAGGTATCATATGTGTAATTTGATATTTCTATATGTAGTCAACAAGATCAGATATGTGATTTTGCAATCATTTTGTATCATTTGGCACTTTTTAATCTCTACCTCGCATAATTTTATTTTATTTAATAAGGGAATACTTTTATTCCCTTCATAAATATATATATATATATATATATATATATATATAATTATTTCATTGATTATCGTTATTAATTTAAAAGAATATTTAACATTTTTATTCTCGTCGAAAAAGAAGTTAAAAAAAATTTTTATACAAAGATAATTTTGCGAAAACTCTAAATGAATATTATAATCTACGAAATATTGTTTGGTATCAATTAGAAAATATATAGAAAAATTATTAATTACATAATATTTTGTAAGATACTTTTATATGTTTTCATATTTATAAAAGAGTTAATATTTAATATTATTTTTGCATTTTTGATCTATTTAAAGTAGTGATTAATCTTGTAAGAAAGATAAAATTCTATGTCACAAAATTCAATATTAGATTTTAATTGCACATAGAGTAAATTCTTCAATCTATACACGGAAAAAAAATCAACTGCTATAGCTAAATTTTAGCTGTTTCTATATTACATACAAAATTTAATTATCATGCCTAAATTTTAGTTATGATAGCTAATATTTTTAGCTGTAGGATTCTTCAAACTATAGCTAAAAATATTAATTATATATAGCTAAAATTTAGGTATGATAACTAAATTTCAGATTGTAATATAGGGACTAAAATTTAGTTATGATAGCTAGTTTTTTCTATAATACATATTTTAACCGATAAGATATTGTATGTACAATTTTATATGTTTATTGTATTTTGTATTGTGCAAGAATTACGATAAATGATCATAAATCCTTCCTTAATTGATTGCAGATAATACTACAAGACAGTGGGATTTTTGAGATGCTAGGATTGGCACAAGAACTTGGTATTGAAGAACTTTGGCGAAGTTGCGAGGAACATGTATCTGCTACTTTAAGTCCAGGAAATGCATGTGCTCTTTTAACCGCTGCTTTGGAGGCTCAAGAACGAGTTCCAGGTATTTATTTAAATATATACATTAATAATTTTCCGCGATTTGCATATTGCGTGCCGCTAATTAAACACTTTGAAAATTTTCGATTCGCGTTATGATAATATATAAAAGATATAGAAAAATTTTACTCACTTACCAAACGAAGGGTAGTCTATTATTGATACCATGTTTCGCTGCATACACATTCTCGGCAGCACGTTACAGAAGTCTTCGATCCATCTTGCCTAAAAAAAAATATAAAACATGAAATGTATGCATAAATAAATTTATTATCGTAATATTAATATATACAAAATATATATATTTTATCAACAGTTTATATATATATATATATATATATATATATATATAAAATATATATATATATGTATATATATAAATGGAAGAATTATTATCATATGCGTATGTAATAGTATTCAAATATGAACTCGGCAACATTATTAACTTTTTATCATTAACAAAATATTGTAGAAACAAAAAAATATGCAAGTATACCTAGTGTGCACTTTTGCGGCGCATATTGTATTTCGAGAAGGTAAATATATATGTACGAAACGACATTACTTCGGATAAAAAGAAGCAAATTATCGAAGTCACACAATACGATGTATTATACATGATATTTAACGCCGACGAATTTATGTCCGACATTTTATGAGAAACACTCGCGATAACTTTTTCTCGCGGGAAACTTCTTTGACAGGATGAGAAACACGGAGCGATATAAACGCGACTTCGACTTTGCTACAACGTGTCGCGACTCGACTTTCTCCGGATATAAAAAAGCGAATTCGTACGGATATTTAACGCACGTTATGCCCGACACTTTCTGAGAAACATTCGCGGCAACTTTCTGCGCGGGAAATGCTATTTGGAGGGAAACAATCACAAAAAAACACGGAGCGTACAAACTACAGATACGACCTCGCAATGGCTTGTCCCGATATTCACTGCCATCTATCGACCGGCGCGACTATACGATTCGATATATCGAAACTCGAGACGGTCGAAAGATCAGAGACACTTCTCTTGAAAGAATGATTTAATATATATGTACGCAGAAATAAGATTTGAAATATTGCAGTAAATATTAGGAACAGTCTCGAAAAATATGTGAAATTAATCTAAATAATTTATTACACATACCGGATATTATTTAATAATAATAGTTGTCATAACCGAGACGATAGTAGAGCGCACTTCGATTGTTCGATTGACCAATCAGGGCGTCGATTGTGTAACTTTTTCTAAAGTGAAAATGTGAAAAGTGAGAAATTTCTTCCAATCACACATCGATTTTCTTTTAAAATCAATGCGTGATTGGCGAAAATTTTTCACTTTTCACGTTTCCACTTTAGAAAAAATTACACAATTGACCCCCTGGACAAAGTAACCGTGAAGAGAGGCAAATTCTCCGGTTGGCATCACTGTGCGGCAGATTACCGCCATATTTGTCGGCGTCCCACGCTACAGAGTACAGAGTATTTATTTAGCGAGTTGCTCGTTGTTTATTACGTAGTTTTTACGTACCAGCACGAAAATGTCGTACAAGGGACCGCAGAAAGTCCAAAAGGTGATGGTCCAGCCCATCAATCTGATATTCAGATATCTGCAGAACCGTTCACGTGTTCAAGTCTGGCTGTTCGAGAACGTGAATCTACGTATCGAGGGACACATCGTCGGCTTCGACGAGTATATGAATTTGGTGCTGGATGAAGCCGAGGAGTATCATCAGAAGACGAAAGTCAGGAAGCAACTCGGACGGATCATGTTGAAGGGCGATAATATCACACTCATACAAAACACTAATCCCGGTGGAAATTAATGGACGGAAGAACATAACCTTCACCTCAGCGGCCAGATAGAATTCTTTAAAGTTTTTTGATTTATATGAAAAAAGTACTCAGGGAGACGATTGTTTTATCTGTAAAAAAGTGTCGATTTTCGTTAGGCATAACAAAAATGTATTTGCATGAATGATGAATGTATCGATTGAGATTTGTATCTTGGAATACTTCTAGTTAATTTGATTTTTGTTGATGAATACGAAATAATTCAAAATTTAATTTGAAAGAGAATTTATTCGATATTTTATGTCAACGCGCAATATTCAAATTATCTACCGCAAACTTACAACAAATATTCTCTGCAATATATTATAATATACTGTGAGTGTACATTACTGACACAATGTAGAATTACATTTTGTACGATAGTTTTGAAATTCATGCTGAATGTGTATTGTGTGACTCGATAAGAGGTAGATAAAATATATATAAGTAATTATTAAATAGTTTCATATTCTCTAAAAAATATCTTTCTGTTTATTTTTACCTACACGATTACCTATTAGAAATATATGATCTCAATATAGTGGATAACAAAAGTAAAGAAATATGATTGTATAAAGAAATAATATTTAAATATATATTAAGATCATGATTAAATATAGAAAAATTTATATAAGTTTATAAAAGAATGAATATATATTTCACAAAAAATTATAAAAGGTGAGGATAAAAAATTTAATATATATATTTATTATATTTTATAGAAATATTTCTTATATTTTTGAAATAAATTTCTATTTCTTTCTATAATTATATAAAAAAGAACAAGTAAATCAGTTTCAAACTTTTAAAACTTCAAACTTTCAAACTTTAATTTTAAATTATATTTATAAGAATGATCTTATAGGTAAACATTATTTGTTTCAGGTGGGAAAACTGCATGTTCATCTTTTATTGAGAAATGCTTTGCTTTTATCGGAGAAAATGCTGTGGATACTGTAAAGACAACGGCGTTTTGTAATCTTCCAAAGGATGCTTTGGTAAAATTAATATCGTCAGATTATCTCGGTTTGGAAGAAGAGGATGTATGGCGTGCTGTTCTCAATTGGGCAAAATATCAGGTCTGCTTATTTTATTTTATTCAATTTCTAGATATGCTTTAAATTTAAGGTAATTTAAGCATATTTTTTAATTGTATCATTCTTTTAGGCTGGAGTAACACAACCCACGCAACATTGGACCGAGGAAGAACGTATAAGGGTGTGCCAGCATTTGTCTGGTGTGATAAATCATGTAAGGTTGCTGTTGATAGACAGCCAAGTATTTGCAGAAGAGGTAGAACCGACTGGAGCAGTGCCAATAGAAATGTCATTGGACAGGTATGAATTTTTCAGTTCCAATTGATTGGCTCAAAATTTTTAAAGTATGATCTAATGGGCACTCACTGTTTGGTGCTATTTGGCGCCTTCGATGTCGACGTTTTGCTTTAGATACAGGTATGCAGCTCTGCCAAACAAGTACTCCGAGATTTGTTCTGACAAACGACTGCATCCACGAGTGAGTCCGTTCCTTTTTCCAAGCTCGCAGATCCTTTCCAGGGACAAAGTTAGTTTCCAGCGACTCTTGAATCAATGGTATGGAGTACCTAAACAGAGTTGGCGATTAGTTTATCGGTAGGTTTTACATATTTCAAAAACAATTCATTAAAGTGCAATTCATTTAATGACAAATTAAATAGTTTAATAAAATCATTCTTTGCGTAAGAATTTTATTTTTATCTGTCAAAGTTTTGATGAATAAATTATTTTCTCAACGACTTGTGCATATATTTATACATAATTATTAAATTATTAAACAATATTTTAAACGTTGTTTACATTTGTTTACATAATTTTATTGTGTATGGAAAATTTAGATATATTTTTATAAAAATTCTATTATTTGCTAGAAATGTGCAATAATATGTCAAATGTGTATATCGAATTGTATAATTGTATGATTTACAAATTTATTGCTTTCAGAGCATCCACTCATGGCTATTCTGCTGCGTCCTTTCATCGGCACTGTGATAACGTTTGCCCAACGTATGTGATAGTACTGGTGAGTATATTTTTATTTCAATTTTTTTTTAATTTTATTTTTTTATATCTACTATAAAATGTATTTTTTATTATATTTCAGGGGATGCGCGGTGAAATATGCGGAGGATTCAGCGACGTCCCGTGGGGTAAAACTAATTCAAAGGCGCAATATATTGCTTCAGAAAAGAGTTTTCTGTTTACATTGACGAATAATCAAGACGTACCGCCGACAAAGTTCGATATCGTGAAGAAATCGTTCGCAATCTGCTATCATCCCGAGTAAAAATTCACAAATTCAAAAATTTTTCATAAAAAATTGTCATAGTTATTAAATTATTTCTTAAATTAGATTCAATTAAATTTTAAAATAATGTTAAATTTAATTTAATTAATTTAAATTAATTTTATTTAATCTATGTTATGTATTACAGCATAGGGCCAATCTTTGGTGCCGGGGCTGATCTACTTATATCGAGTAACTGCAATGTCAACAAGGAGAGTTACAGCAATCTTCCGCATAGTTATGAAGGAGATCACGCGTCTAATCAGTTATTCATGGGAGACTATCACTTTTCAGTAATCGATTATGAAGTTTTCACTCCGAGTCATCCTGTTCCCAAGTCTAATCATTGAGTTAATCGTTTTGAAATATTTAACAAATACATCGCTTGTAAGAAATGTACTTATTTTATTCATTACATTTTGTTCGCGGTTTTCTTGATGTAACATTAAAAACTGGCGATAATTTATCCGCGTTATATTAATTATATTTTTATATTCATATTATTACAAAAAGACATACTTAAAAGACTGATTTTATATTTTTATATATAATTATATTTTACTTTTACTCTATATATACTTATGTATTTTTTTATAATAGTGTCTCAAATATATCAAATCTATTTAATATGTATTCATGTAATATTATTCATCTCGACACTCCGTAGTCTATAAAAGTAAGTTTAAGTGTTCTATGTTCTCGCGGAAGTATACGTAATATGACTTATGTTCGCTAAACAGAATATTGTGAAAAAGACATGCGTCAGCGTAGGCAACCGAATGTGTGTATTCACGAAACTGTTCTCTCGAGTATTCTTGGCATACGCACATTGAATATTCATATCAAAGTATTATGACTAAATGCGGCCGTCTGTCACCAACATTACCATGTTAAACAGTTACATTTGTAAAATCAGTTTAACCGACCTTGTATTCGTGTTTTTCGTGAATTCATGTATATATTAATGAGACACAAGATTCAATTTTTTATATTTGTATTATAGAACAAGACTGTTATTATTAATGTTATTATATAAGACTGTTATTATTATATATATTAAAGAAATATTTTTAAAAGAAATCGTAGTAATCTTATAAACAAAAATGAAAAAAATTTCGATTATTGTTTAATTCTATACAAAGAATGCAGCATTGTTTTATTAAATTGTTAAGATTATTATTAATAATAACAATATTGTTCTAAAGCATTATAAAATATGTATGGTATATGTATATTCTATACTAAATATATATATAAAGTTTATATAAAAGTATATATAAAGTTTTAATTAAAAAATACTTTGTAATGCAATTAGAACAGTTAGTAGTTAATTAATTTGAGATAACATTTTGTTATTTAATTGTAACATATAAAGAAATTAATTTTAAAAGAAATAATATTTTTTGTTAGACACAAATGAAAAAATTTTGATTATTTAATTTTATACAAAGAAGCAGCATTATGTTCTATAAATAACAAAATGTTATATTAAGCTTTTAATAAAACTTTTTAGTTCTTTCATATAATATATTTATAATCTCTTTTCTCTTTAAAAACCAAATATATATACATATTGCAACTTTTGAAATTCATAATCAATAAAAAGTAGCAGATGCTGACATTTAATATTTAAAAAGAAAGAAGATTTTAAATCAAATCAGGCGAGATAGTCTTCGCCGAATTTGGCTACATATTACGTACTATACAATTAGTTCTTGTCATTTTGGCTTTATTCTTCATTGTAAAATAAAATAAGGTATGTTCAAGAATCATCCTTTTAGCGCTTTGAGCTATTTATCAGTGTTTTTCCGAACAAATCATGGTTATCTCATAATTTGATATTTCATGACATAAATTCTATAAAAAATAATTGTTTTGTTGTAAAAAAATAATTTAATTTATTTTTAGTTAAAAAATAATTATCTAACCTAAGATTTATTAATCTAGTTTTTGATGTATTTGTGAGTATTTCTGTTACAATATAAACATAAAGCAACAGTTTTATCATCCCCCAGATAGATATATTTCAGCAGATATTATTTTGTCAGAAATATAATTGCAGTTGTGCGTTTATAGTTTATAGTATAGTGAAACACATTGCTATTTTATAAAATATACATATATATGTTAACAATATGACATTATAATGCACAATTAAAAAAATTAAAATGATTCGTAATTTTATGTCTAATTGCATTACAAAGTATACATAATATGTTTGTATACTATAATATTATGTTCAGCATACTTATTTATCTGGGCCTTTTTAATTTTTTCAAAATTTTCTTTATCTCAATAACAATGTTGCTGTCGCTCACCATAATTCATAAAATAATTTATTATATTTTCTTTAAATACAATTTTAATAATGTCAAAGTCAACTGATCAAAAATGCATCTGCATCGGCTGCAATATAATTATTGGCTTATGTAGCGTTATTATCTGTAAGTTTTATACATAAATTATTACATGTCAAAAACTTATTACGCATAATACATAGTATAATACGTCATGTCAAATTATATAATACTTCACGTATTATACCTGTATTCAACCCTGCCCAGGAATTGATCGGTAATTCTATTAGGCCGGGTCTACAATAGGAGTAGTAAATTCTAAGCCTTAAGAAATTGATCAATCACAGTCAATTATTCCCCTCATTCTTGACTGTGATTGGTGAATTTCTTAAAGCTTAGAGCTTACTCCACCTGTTGTAGATCCGGCCTAAGGCCAGGTTCGTTCTGTAAAGTTGAGTTTCAGATGGCGACACCGTTACGAAGGCTTGCAGTCGTAGTCGTTGGTGGGGGGATCAGTCTCTCGCCAAACGTGCAGCGTAGTAGATGAGACGTGCGAGTCTTATGGAAGAAGAGAGGTACTTTATTCTTAGGTGTGAAGTTAGGTTTCGTAGTCAAGTGACACCGCTACGATTGTATCAGTTTCGCACGAACATGGTCGATATGTAAAGATGCGAGAGTCAAGTGGAAGTGCAGGTATTTTGATCGAAAGATTCTTCTAGAAGTTCTATTTCTTTGTTCGCATTTTCTGTTAAAGATTGAATAAATTTCTGTTTAACGATTGAATTTTTAGGCGTTGCATAATTAATTAACATATTTTTAAGCACGTCTTGCAATTTCGGTTATCTTGTGTATATTTTATTATCAAAGAATGATATAACCTCACTTCGCGTACGTAACTATGGGTGTCCCATAATTCGCGAATCACCTTTCATGGGCAGATAGAGCGTGTTAAACAGAAAAGTCCTGTATCATTTTGCGATATTCGCAATAATTATTGAGTGTGCATGTCGGATGACTTTGTTATATGCCGCTTAGTATCAAAAGTATCATCTTACCTTTCGGCGCCACTACATTGGTCGCCGCTCGTTGCATGACGCCGCCTCTCGATCAAATAATGCTTTCTACCTGCTTATTCGTTTAGATATTTTAATAAATAATTATTGAGTTATTTATTAAAATATCTAAACGAATAAGCAGGTGGAAAGCATTATTTGATCGAGAGGCGGCGTCATGCAACGAGCGGCGACCAATGTAGTGGCGCCGAAAGGTAAGATGATACTTTTGATACTAAGCGGCATATAACAAAGAAGTCATCCGACATGCACACCGAGTCCGGCCTACCGCTTTCTACCCGCTCATTTGTTTAGATATTTTAGTTAATAATTCAATAATTATTGCGAATATCGCAAAATGATACAGGACTTTTCTGTTAAACGCGCTCTATCTGCCCATGAAAGGTGATTCGCGAATTATGGGACACCCTGTTTATTCGATTAGATTGATGAGATGTAAAAGATATATATATATATAAATATGTATATAATAATGAGAAAATATTAAGTCTTTCATTCGATATTACAGATGATGTGTGGCCAGCAGCTATAGTGAATTATTTGACGAGATGATTATTCGGACAGTCCGGTTTGTGAATTTTTAACACTCCATAGGCTCTTGGTATATATATATGTATATAATAATGAGAAAATATTAAGTCTTTCATTTGATATTACAGATGATGTGTGGCCAGCAGCTATAGTGAATTATTTGACGAGATGATTATTCGGACAGTCCGGCTTGTGAATTTTTAACACTTATAGGCTCTTGGTGCCTATTTATCAATTAAGTTTTTTGTAAGTACCTTTAACAATATACTCGCGTTTTTTCCATTTTGCAAGCAAATCATGAAAATCTCTGATGAGTTTTTGGCAAAATCTTTTTTAACATAGTATAAATGTTAATATATTTGGCTCTTAATTAACTCTTATTTTGGCGTTTGTGTGTTGGATATTCAATACCAGAGCCTTCAACTTAATAAATTTTTATTATCATGTATTATCAGTGTACAAGTAAGTACTTACTGGCTCGGTCCCATTCCCATGCCAATAATTTATTTACAAATTGTCTTCATCGTATCACTATTAAACAACATATACGGAAATATTTTACATGTTTTGCATACGTTTGACCAAAATAATCAATTAAATACAATAGACTTACAACATATGTAATAATATGTATACATATTATTGTACATGTGTCCGGGATAAAACGATTTCTTATAATTGCATATTATACTGGCCTTTATTGACTACATTCAATCTACAAAGAGTGCTAACGAGACGTAGTGTCAACAGTGATCAACAATAAGTAATTCGTTGAAATTATATCTAACAATTATACATAAAATACAAGACGAATCTCGGATTGCTCTACGAACAAACGTATGTGATAATATATGATAATATACATACGTCTGCCTTATATTTACAAATTTTATATGTATATGTACACAAATCTTTCCTAAACATTTAGAATTACATTTGCAATATGTAAAGTTGTAGAGTATTTATCCAGAAGCGTCGTATAAAAGAACTTGGGCTCAATTACTATTTGTTTTATAATTTAATTTTGCCATCCACGATAATTTTCAAGTTTTTAGTACCACGATTGCCACTTAATATCAATCTTTGTTCAATGATTAGATTATTACATTCTCTTTAAAAAGAAAACAAGAGACATCATTTTCCAATTATTTTTAAATCATGTAACTGTTTTATTTCCTCAGAGAAAAAATATATATATATATATATATATATATATATATATATATGTACACACAAACCCACATTACTAAGGATCACATTATTTACAAGATAAAATATATGAACGCAATAACAATAATTACAACATAAGTTCCTAAAATATTTCTATTACTTAACAATACTCCTAAATTATTTTTTCTAAAAAAATTAGAGAAATAATGATTCGCTAAATGATAGCTCGGAGATTTTCTATTTAAGCAAGAGACCTTATTTCTGGAAACTTTAAGTATATTCGAGAGGGTGGCAACCGCGTGATTATCTTATAAAATATATTAATATCAGATATGGTTTTTTATTAAGCTAACGACTAGCTAGAAACAATTGAAGGACGAGAACTTTATATATTTACATTTACATCCTCAATGTCTAGTTTATGTAAAATGTGATACAATTTTGATTTTTAATGTTAAATAACTATCGTGAATCATACAATCGTCACCAGATTCTCTCCCTTTCTCTCTTTCTTTCACCTATTTTCCCCGATGAAAATCTCAAAGCATCGATCGCCAGACGAGGTACTCGAAACGGATCGCGAAACTATTTGTGTTTCGTAGCCTTAAATTCTGCCGTGATTTGTAGACCGATAGTGCTTTTTTGGAATTTAAGGCTACGATGATTTCGTCTTAAAAGCGAAGTTGTGTTCGACTGTTACGTTGCCAGAAAAGAAACAACGGCGAAAGTATTGTCCGTGACACTTGAGTGAGAATTTGGATACGCAGAGAATATCTACTCGAAATTCTCTGCATTTACGGTGATTTCTTTACGAATTTATTTCAGAGAGAATAGAATTCTCAAATATAAATGTCGATAATAGTTATAAAATAAGTAATATCGTATATACCTAAAGTTCAAATTAAAAAAAAAAAAAATTAAAGGTTAAAAAAGTAAAATTGTTATAAAGTTTGTATACATGTTTTACATATATTTACATTAAAATATTTTAATATTGATTACAAGCAAAAAAACTTCATTAAAAAAAAAATATGTAATCGACAGTATAATTTTGTGCACAAATAAGTTTCATAATTTCATAAAATAAAATTGTTTGCATAATTAATTTTTTTTAATTTTTATCTGTCATAACATATCGTGTGACAGTGCGTACTATCATGTTAAAAAAATGAAATGAATAAAAAACGAAAACGCCGATATCTTCAAGGCTTTCTTTTCGCGAACGCGTTTCCTCTTTGCTTCCGGATACATCACGAGGAAACGAGAAGGCTACGACGGCGGAACCGACATCGGCAAGCATTTGTAAGATAAAACGGCCACCGATGTACGTGAGTGTACGCGCCAACACGTGCGTACGCGGAACATATGCAACGACGTATTTATCGGGCGACGTTTCTATCCTCCGTCGTTCGTCTTCGTCTCGCGTGATTACCACGAATGAGGGAGCGAGCAAACGCGTGCGCTCGTTAATTAAAACGGTGGAATCTCGTTAAAGTCGATTGGCTGTTGCATAAGTGACCATCGATCGACGGCTCGTTCGTGTCGGAATTGAGATGTCGGTCGTAATTTTTTTCTCCAAGGCTTGCTTGTGTGAATAGAACGCGCGTGTCTCGCATTTACTTAGGCTCGAGCACGGATAAGGGTGCGTGAGCAAGGGGCCATCGGGAATTCGATGAATTTGTGTGCGAGCAGTTAATTAAGGGATGTTGAAACGAAACTTGTCATTCACTCAATCATATGCAGCATATGCGCACTGCTCTTTTATGTCAGTTACCTCACTGATATTTAACAGGATTTAATGTGAATGTTTGCATTATGAGTTTTTTTCAATCCTATAGAATAAAAAAAATTTTTAAAAGAAGTTATTGTTTTCTTATACAGATTCTCTCTGAAAAATCTTTAAGGTTTTGTGCATACTTTTGTAATTTTATATCTCGATTTTATTTTTGTAGAATAACAATTGTGTGAAAGGTGATCTATTCAAATAATCTTTTGTTATGGATAAAAATTAAAGAATTTTTACCTCGAGAGTAATAAAATGTAGAATAAAATATAAAAAGTATAAAAGATAAAAGATAAAAAAATATTTTTCTTATTTATAGAATTATAAGAAAAGAGAGAGATATTAATACTTGATATATTATATCTATATACATTATACATATACATTTTATAATTTTATAAAGTGTATATACATTTATATATATATAATATATCATATATATTTTGTAGGTTTTTATGATGCATCTGCAGCATTTCGAATTTGACTTTATCGTCTGCATTGTGTCTTAGAAATACTACATACCTGAAAATATTGTATATGCGTTGGATAACTTCTTTGCATAATTTCTCATAATGTAAACATTCAGATTAAATCCTACTAAATATCAGTTGTCAGATCGATAAGTCTATCTTTGTAACTGACATTGCAAATAACGGTGAGAATATTATGGCCATTATGTCTAACACTAATCACTGATGCCGTTATCGATGCTTATTGTTAGAACATACTTTACATTTGTACCTTTAAGAGAAAAATATGACATCTCTAATTTGTATATGTAATAATATCTATGTATAAATGTAACAAGATCTTAATAGCTATTTCATGCACACACATACGCACAATATAATCTTGAACTAATATGCATGCATGTATATTAATGTACATATACTAATATATATTTTTATATATACATATATTGTTATTAATGTTATATGTTGGTACATGAGAGATATTCATATATATACAGACACGTAATGTATATTAATATTTATTTTAATTTGTCGCAAGTTTTTTTTATATAAATTCAGCCTTCTTCCAAAAAATGCGACATAAATATATGTATATATGTACGTAAAAGAATATGATGAGACATGTATATGTATATGTATAAATTGATATACATATATAGTGTATATATGCCTTATCATATTCTTTCAAATAATATAAAAATAATTCTGAATTTATTCGATGATATAAGCTTGCTCTTAGATATATCATAATAGATGTATTTATATTTATCTTCGCTATTATCAATTGGCTTAGATAAATTTTTTCTTGCGTTCTTATTAATTGCATTAAAATATTTTTGTCATTGAACTAAATTAATTAAATAAAATATTCATTAAATAAAATAAAAGATATACAATATATAATTTTTAAACATACTTGTTTAAATATCACACAAGCTTTGTATATCTAATATATATTAATACTAGACGACTCGGATTTACTCTTTTGAAGGATTGTGAATGGCGATTGTATGTACACGACTTCTTGTACACGAGCGATAAAACAATACAATGAAAAAATCTCACATGTACAGGCAGGTCTTGTAACAAACAACGAGATGCAAAAACATAGAACAAATATTTTTGCTTTTACTCCATTTTTTAAAATCTAGTTGCTATAGTTAAAGTCGTAAATCTGTTGATTTTTTCTCGCAGATCCTGTGTGTCATTAACGCTCTTTATCTTTAAATCAAATTTTTTGAAAAATTGCCCATAGCGATTAACTTTTTGAATCATGAGCGATAAAACAATCATAAGATAAAAAAATTAATCATGTACATATGGATCTTACATAGAATAGTCCGTCAGAAACAACATCGGAATATTTCCGTCGCATTTAAGGATTAAAAAAAAATATCCAAAGAAAAAGTTGTGCAATAGTGTTGCCACTTTGAATTATACAAAATTTTTTCCTCCCGAATCAAACATTTTCTTCTGCTTTCGATCTCAATTTTTATCCAACATTTTGATAATTTAAACAATCGAATGATCTTTTTCGAAACTGTATATTTAACTTATAGTTTTATCAGAAGCTCTTTTCTTCAACCTCTAAATAGGAAATGTATGCATTTACCCTATTTGAGGTATAAAATAGAAGCTCAATTTCTATATAAATTAAATCTATTTTCTAGAAGGCATAAATGTGAAAAAATTGAGATTAAAAATAGGAGCAACATTTTGATAAAGGTAGATATTTTTTTCACTTTTTATATGCAACGGAGATATTCTGATCTTTGTTTTTGTTGGATCATCTTGTAATAGCGAAATAAGAACATAAAATATAATAATAGAAAATAAATAATAAGTAGTATTATTAAAATGTACTTTTCAATATTATTGGAATTGTTTTCGTTCTTTCTAATTAAAGTTTTCTAAATTTTTAGGACCTTGTCGTTAAATCAATCGGCTTTTTCGCGGATGAACTCTCTGTGTCACTGGCGCTCTCTATTTCATCGTCCTGCAAGTGATTGTTCACAGGTATCGCGATGGTTTTCATAGAAAGATCCATCGGATTATCTTGCGGCGGCAGGCAGGCATCTTCTCGTTCCGGACTGCACTCGAATAATTCGTCCTCGGAAGTTCGCGTTTCCTTCGGAGTCGGCGATCTTTCCGACAAAGTTCGCTCGCTCTTCAGGGCCGTGTCGAGGCAGAATCGATCGTTATTGTTGTTCCTCTCGCAAAAGTCGTTCTCGTTGATGGACGACGTCGAGACTCTTGATTCGATCGTCGTCGTCGTCGTCGTCGACGGCGTCACGATGGATGTCACAGGACTGTCGTTCTCATCGTTCGTCGTCGGTGAACGTCGTAGCAGGCTTGTCGGATGGTTCACGAGGGGATGGGATGCACCGTGATGCGCGTAGATGTGAGCGTAGGGCGAAAACATGGTAAGACCGGGTGGCTGCAGGAAAGCCGACGGCAGCAGCGACATGTTGCTGAGCGGGAAACCCAAGGGTAGACCCATCATTTCCTTGCTCAAGACGGACAGATCAGCCACGGGCTGCTGCAACTGCAGTGGCGGGTGCAGAGGTCGGAAAGTGGGATGTCCAATGAAGACAGCTCTCTTCTCGGAGACTTCGACGGAGCTATCGCTATTGTGAGACTCAGGCGAGCTGATGCTGGGCGAATTCGAATTCTTATAGTCGTCTAGACTGAGCATCATGGTTTCGTCTTTGCGTTGACTACTGTGAATAGGAGAGTTCGTCGGCTGCTGCTGCGAGAGCTGATGCTGCAGCTGCTGTCGACCGATCATAGGCGGTTGATAATGATGTTGCTGCTGCTGTTGCTGTTGTTGTTCCATTTGCTGCTGCTGTTGTTGTTGCAGAAGACAGTGAATTTTGAACCAATTTGATCTGCGGCCGTATCGTGAACCAGACTTGGACATGCCGACGTGGAGACATTTTCTTAAGCGACAGGCTTTGCACGCTGTACGATTTTTCTTGTTTATCACGCACTCACCGCCATTCTTGCATTCGGCGATGCTGTTCAGATTATTGTATGAGCGCCCAAAGAATGACTGTAACAAAAATTATAAATTAATTAACATTAATGATACAATATACTTTGCAGGACATGAGATTAAATCATTTTCCAGAGAAGAATTTAATGTTATGTATTTAAAAATTTAATTCTATTTGTCAAATTATATAATTATAATTATATAATAAATTGTTGCGTTTATATCATTTAAAAAAACTTGGTATTCAATATTAAGGGGATTATGTTAATCAGCTAAGTTAAATTGAGCGCCGCGTATTTTTAAAAATTTTTGTTGTATTTCTTTTTACAGATCCATTTGCGCTTGTACTGGAAACAATATCAGTTGCTGTCGAATCGGTATCGCGAAATCATCATGTAAGCCACGTTTCAACGAAGACGGCGACGAGAGACGAAAGGTCTGGAAACCAGCGATACTGCAACGGCATTGTAACACTTGTAAAAGGTACGTAACGTCCAAGTTGTTAGCATGTAACCGTACGCTCTCGTTGTCTCATTCATGGCATGCGAGCGCCAGGGGGAGGTGCGGTGAGGTCGACGGTCGCAGGCGCGTGCGGCCTGTTGTTCTCGTGCTAATTGCCCAAATGGTGCAATTCCACGTGATTCCGACACAGCGTGCTCGTTGCTTTCGTGCCGGAGATGGCGAGCAACGATGCGCCTATATGTACACGCTTCTTTCTCTTTTCCTCTTTTTGCGTAGGAGACAGTATAAGATAACTTTGTATGTCTCCTCCTACGCAATATGTAAAATACTACATATTTTGGCCGAAACGTAAATGGATCTCTCTAATTTTATTTTCATTATCCTAAAATAAATTCTAGAAAAATTTGTCAAATTTCGTCACAAGGATTTTATAAAGTGAGTATATCAATTAATTTGATCGAAGCTTAAATAATCGTTTTATAATGGTTTCAAATCGTATCGTTATTGTGAAATGTTGCTTCTTTTACAACCGGATCGTTGCGAGACAACAGTTTCGGTTGAATTGACAGCTAGAATTTCCCAATCGTCACGATTAATATGTCGCTCGGCGCACAGCAGCGGACTGTCACATCGCGAATCGCCGAGCGTTTAAAGGGACGCGCGCGCGCGGCCGCGTTGACCACTTTCGCTTTTTTTTCTGCCCGTACGCACGCTATATTATTAATCGTTTCTGGTTCGTTTGTCCTGGAAACGAGCTCTTCCTGCGGCCTGGTGGTCCCGATGCGCGTATTGCCGAGACCTATGGGCCGGCATCGCGTTCCACTTATTTTCGCCGTCGACGTCGTCGACGTTTGTCCTCCACCTTCTTGCCGATGTCGCTTACGCGAGTAAGAAAAGGAACGCGCGACGCTTCAGAAGCGATGACACAATTGAGAAAATGCTACCGTTATTACATGCCCTCCTCCTCCTTCCCGACCGCCCCCTTCATTCGTTGTGCACGCTGAAGTTATGCAAACGCGGCCCTACTTGAAAGCCACGACACGCTCGTTTCGTCGCACTAGCTTTGCTACAATCATTATTGGAGGGGTCTTTGGCAAGTTTGTTTTAATATATTCGCGAGATTCAAATTCATGATATTTACAATAACGATACGATTTGAAAAACCATTATAAAACGATTATTTAAGCTTCAATCAAATTAATTGATATACTCACTTTATAAAATCCTTATGACGAAATTTGACAAATTTTTTTAGAATTTGGAAATTTTAATTGTATCGCGTTATCTCGCAATTATCACCGTTAAATGTTGAATAAATTTAAGAAACAATAGTTTTTTTCTATTATATTCTTTGAAATAATTTTTTCAATTTAAATTTTTATTTTTTTCTGAATATTTCGGATTTGTAATCCTGTGCGCGAGAGAGTTTAATTAAATCGTTGAAAGATTATTCAACAAGAAAGGAGAAGAAGAGGACCCCCGGCGGACGGAGGTTCTCCTTTCTCGTTCCGATCACCGTGCCGCCTCGAGACGCCGCTTCCGGTGCTTCGCACTTGTCCGCCACAATTGTTTCCGCCCTAGTTCACGGTTACGTCAGCACGACATTGTTTCGTTTCGTTATTTTCGTTTTCAGGCCCATCGTAGCATGTCAGTTCTCCCTCCTCTGCGCAATCCCGTGGGCCCCCGTCATCGCGTTACCGCTCTCGTTTTTCTCGCTTCACGCTTCTCGGAGCGAGCGGTTCTAGCTGATGCCGCGCGGAGATCCAACCTGGTGCTCGTCGCTTTTTAATCGAATCGCGCGCGTATACGTACGCGCTTGCCGTTTTCGGACCCCCTCGAGCTAGGTTGACACGCATGCCTGACCGAACGTTTAACCTCGGCTACGGAGCCGCTCGTGAAAGCGACCGCTCGCTTGCCGACCTGCTGGGCCTTTGCGAAACCGCGAGAAAGAGCGTCGGCGCAGCGTGTCGCGAGAGACCGACAAAAAGCGCGAACGAGCCACCGAGGAAAACTCTGCTATTAGACCGACAGATCAGGAGCGAGGTTCTCTTCTCTCGGTCACAGACGTGCCGCGCTTTTTTGACAGCGAGACCGATTTCCTTTATGCTCGTTGTGTATCGGTAGAGCGATTCTCCGGAACGCGTGTCCCTGCGCTTGCGGTGACGGTATATCCCGATCATTATGTGAGGAAACGAGTTTCGACTCGGTTTAATGTTATCTCCTCTGTCTCATTTCATTTTTATTTCCATTCTTAATTACGTCTCAATGTTTCAATGATGTAGAAGAAATGCAAATGAGAAGAATTTACGCAGGTAGGTGTAGTATTTATATATTTAAAACGCCAAAGATTTTAGATCGTTTACTGAAAATTATAACGGAAGATGTTTCTATTTTATTGTTAAATTTAAGCAAAGTCGGTTGATAGGTATTTTATTTAGATGATTTTATTCAATTTAATAATATTTTAAATTTCAAAGAAAAAGATAAAGACATTCAATATTAGACGATTAGACAATTACCTTGCAACCCTCGCAGGTAAATGCGCCAAAGTGGAAGCCAGCCGCTGGTTCTCCGCATACCTTGCACTGCTGGTTCATCTGCAAGAGAAAACAATAGTAGTACAGTCGATTTCTGGTTGCATTAATAAGCTCTGTATAAAATAGTGTACATTTGGTACAAATGCTAACGCACATATATTATTTCAGAGATTGAAGCAAGAAAAATTTCAATTTCTTACAGGAAAAAAATATTAACTACCATTAACTAAATTTCAGATGTAATATACCTACAGATACCTAAAATTTCGCTATGGCTAATTAATATTTTTTCCCGTATAGACGTTTAAAAAATACCTTTTTTAAAAGAGATTTCAAGGTTTTTTTCATATTTAATAGTTTGAGTATTGTTCACAATGTTGGTTCACTAGTAAAATGAAAAGTCTGATAACATGATTGTTATTGACTTATTGTGTTTGCGATCTTTGTAACATGTTATGTATACATCTTGCGTGTGTATATGTGCGTATATGTGCGTTACTTAGTTTTCGTTTTGTTTTCTCTGGTCTATCAAATATAGAAATTTCTTCTCATATAAATATCAAGCATTTCTTGCTAACGGCAAGCGATAGCTAAAATTATCATTAATATAAATTCTACACGAAATTATACAATATTTGAAAGTGAACTCTATTTATTAGATGCACTATTTTTGTGCAATAATAATACATGGACAGTGCCTCAAGGTAATAAATAAAATAGAGATTTGTAGCAAAAATTTATTCATTTTGCTACGCTAAACAATTAATTTAATCATAATTTCTACACTTTGTCCTAAATCTTTCCCATTGTCGTTTTCCTGTTAAATGTTCGTGGAATATATGACTTATTAATGTATATGTCATTAGGAGATATTAGAAATCTATGGTTTATTATTAAAGATATAGAGATTTAAATATTATAAAAGAAAAGCTGATGACTAATATAAATTCTCGTTGCAATATCATAAAACGATAATACGATGTTTCTCTAATGAATCACTTCCTATGCAACGGAAACGGAAAGTGGATCGGTCGAAGATACACGAAGGTACGTTTGACAAGTCGGCGATGCAATCTTTATAGTGCGCCTACACCGATCGAGCGCGCGATTGAGTAAGAGAAGAGGCGCGTTGCATAATGCGCCGCTTTGCAGTTTGCAGTGCAGCGCGCGCGAGCGCGAATCGCTGGATCGTGGCAAAGCGGTGCGTGTTACGTTCAACGAGCGGAAAACTCTTGCGCTTGCTTTTTTCCCCCCTTTTCAGTCGGTTGTTTTCCCGTCTCTCTTTCTCGCACTCGTTCCGCCGAGGCGACTCCTTTCGCCTTCTTTGGCCGATCGTCCAGAAAACGGACCGTGGCTTCGCGGTCTCGTTTTCACACCTCGTCGCTTTTATTCCTCGCCGCGATCCCTTGCATAACTTGCATTTGTGTAGGCCAGCGAAGTGATGCCGCGATCCGAAACAGAGACAATCGACTTCTACTCTGCAATGTTCCTTTTGGTCTTTCTTAGCTCTATCCTTGGTCTCTCCTTTTTCAAGCTCGTTTATTCGCAAACGTCATCCGAGTTTCTGGCAATCCATCAGATTTTTATTTATCATTAGTATTACTTTTTTCGAACAAAATGTCAGAAGATCACGAATATATGGGACAATAGCGGTGACCTAGATGTTTGTACCACGGCCTGAGGGCACAACTGTGCCCACCTCCGACGACTTTCATACGTGACGGACTGTCGCTAAATGGGAAAGTAAATCTCAACTAATGGAAGAGACATCTACGTTGTTTGATCAACGGAGTCTCTCTCTTTCCTGACCTACACCCAACAGTCGTTGACACTTGTCATTCGCGGATGCCGCCGTTTCTGCCGCGGTATATTCTACAGGTTTACGCTTGTACGCATCACGCAATTCCGCGTTTGTATTTTTTTCATTTATCTGCGTTCGCACGCTTACTTCCCGCCACGTTACACACATAGAATAAAATTACACATTACGATATTATGATGTTGTAAATTGATTTATATCGACAATCCGTACTTTATTTAAGTTGCACTGTTACGTACAGCACAGATATCTCTTCTTACGTGATCGTTTTATTGCTACAGTTTACGATATTTTTTTAATTATTAATTCATTTTATTATATTCGAAAAACGTGTATTTACGTGTCGCATCGTTAACGTTCGATGACAAATTGGAGCAACGTCGCCGAGTATTTCTTAATTGTATTTAAATTATTTTATGCTATACATTAATAATGGCCTGATAACCTGTTTGATCGTTTTTCATATTTGAATTCTTCATAGATAAGAACTAAATGATACTTTTGACTTGACAATATAAACTAGCACGGACCCTGACGCCTGACCAATAGCAACCAGTATTAATAGTGGTAGAGTACATCCGGTAACAGGTAAATCTCATTCGGTGGATGCCCATCGCGTTCCACGTCGATGCAATCGCGATGTTTAAATGATATTGTGTCGTGTTGAAGTGTCGCAACGAGGTACACACAATGTCGTTAGATAAAATCAAACGAGGTTAGATTCCATTAAACAAATAAAAAATAGCCATGAAATATAAATAATTATAATATATTATGAGATAAATAAAAATAATAATTTATATAATTAATTATTAATATAGAATAATTCTGATTTTACTTTGTATAATTATTTTGCAATAATGTTTTCAAGATCTAAAATGTTACATTATCTATTAGTAACTTTATTCGGCGCAAACTCAATAACATGATAAATAAAGTTACCGGTATTATTTATAAAAAAATACAAATTAATAGATGTAAGACGAGATAAACACTTGTTGCTATAGGATCAAATCAAGATGAGAAATCTATACTTTTACATAACTATGACAAGAAGTTTACTATAATAGATGGAAGTAGATTAACAAATAATATGATAAATCAAAATACGAAAAGAATAACATTCAAGTTCCAAATATTTAAATTAAATAAAATATATGTACCCAAAAAAGGGAATCGCAGATCGGAAGGCAAAAAGAAAAGAAGATTACATATCGTCAAACAATAAACTAAAATATTATACTCACACAATAAAATAATGATTATTAAAAGTATTGAAAAACTTGATGATTGAAAAGTCTCAACGAAAATAGACATAAAATGATTTTTATTTGCGTTAGATGATATTATAAATGAAATGGTTGGTTTTACCTAGGCGATTAATACGCGCTATCTACCTGTCTCAGTTCGCGAGAATTATTCGGCGTATATATAATCGGGAATTTCACAATTACACTTGACAACCTAAGTGGTCGCCGCGCGCTTGTTACGCCGATCTCTATCCGCCTCGGTCGGCACATGCAAACAGCTGATTCACGGCTGGGTAATCGTAATAGCCCGCGCGACTCCGCACGCGGTATTAGAGATTACGAGCTATTATCGCGAGCTACGTATTGTCTTCCCTGCAATTTCCCGATGATCGTTTCCTCACGACAGCGAAAGAATCTGCTTCTCGTCTCTTTAAGATGGGTTTCATTGTTCGTCCGCTCGAGATTATACTCGTATTTTTACGCTTGTCGTAACGAAGCGTCGCGTCGTCGCGGAAGCGAGTCACTTCTCTCGAACACACCCGGACACGAGCGTGCGAATCTGGTCTCTCCGATAATAACAAAAAGTCAACCCGATCTTCGATTCGCCGCCGCTCGTGCGGGCGCAAAGGTGCTCCGGTAATAAGCACTCGTCTCTTTCTCGGCACTCCTGTCTACCGAGACTCTGCGCGTATTATCGTCGAGAGCGGATCTCGGCGGCAACGATCATCGCCAAGATCGTCGGGGACCGCCACGAGGCCTGACCTTGCGGAATGTTGCGCCAAGCAAGCGCGGACTCGAGCCGTGAGAATCGTAACGACTCCCGCGGATCGCAAAGTCTCTGCCCGATGATCATCGTCGACGGTGACTGCGAGACATTCGACTGCACATCTGTCAGGAGCGCGCTCGTCAAGCATTCGATCGTCGCGATTTCTGTGTAGACCGTGCCGCATTTGTTCTTCTTTCCCATGTCGATATAAACAACCACCCACTGTGCCTTTCATCGAAAAAAATAGACTTTCACGTGGGTTAAAAAAAATGGAAGACATAATCCTGAACAAGAGAAAATCATGGTCTCACTTCATCCTTTACGATTTTCGTTGAGTGGATAATAAAAAATGGATCTAACACTATATAGATTTTTTCTTTTACAGAAAAGATATTTATTTCTTTTAAAAAACGAGCAACAGGAAATACGAAACTTAAAAAAATGCTGTTTGATTCTTTTAGACTGAAAGACATATTTTCACCGACCCTAATTTTTCCGCTTAGGATGGACGAAATATATAACGAAATAAAACTTTGAAATTCTTTTGTCCCTTTATATTGTAAAAATTGCTAAGTACTGTAATAAATAAAGCCTAAAAAACTGATTTGTAATTAGTATTTTCAAGGCGATGTAAGATACAAAAGACGCTCTAAATTATGTACCTAATTCTTCTTAAAAAAATGTCCTTTAAGCCCTTAAAATAAATCCTTAAAAAATCGTTCTTTACAAGAAAAAACCGTTTTCGCCAATTATAGCATACTATCGTGAAAAATACTGCATTTTCATTTTTTTCATATATTTTTTATTTTTTATTGAATATCGCAATTTTTTAGAAGATTGTGACAAAATCGCGTTTCTATTTTTTAATCGTTGAAAACTGGTTTTGTTGGAACGAATGTGATAAACAAAGAAATAAATGATGTGGAATTTTTTTAAAATATAAACCAGATAAAAACGTAGAAAGACGGATACATTTTTATGTGTTTTATATATTGTTTTTATAAAAGGTCAAAAACTGACAAACAACCGATGTATTATTAAATATTAAAGAGAAATCTTGTCCTTTTTTTAAAGACATGATATATATATATGTATTGTATGTATGTAAGATTTGCAACGTAATATATAATCATATAGCGGCGGCCGACGGCGATTCATCTTGCTATCGGTTACAGGTCGCTCGATACCAAATATCAGTCGATCGCTCGCACGTGCACATTCATCCAAATCGATATCGAGGATATTTCGCTCGAACGCCAATCAATACGTGATCGGCTTGCAAGGAAACGATTCCGGCGTTTCGCAACCTCATCTCGACGATGCTCCAGTTCGCGAAGAGTAACTTCCGTTCTTTCGAAACGGAGCGACGTTCCGCCGATCGGCCTTCGCGTCGACCTGCGTGCAACACAATGACAATGTTTCCGATTCTATTCTATTTATCGCAACCGACGCATGATCGACACGCGGACCATTTGTCGCGGCTTATATGAAATCAAATGCTACGGTTTACGATGACAAACAAGTTCGCGGATGCACGCGCGTCTGTCAAAATTGACGAGTCACGAGTGAGAACTCATCACGGCACCTAATCCGCGACGAACCGATTCCGAAGCAGATTCTCATCGCTCTCGCGTTCTCGATCGACGTTTCCGAGGTACGACACGGCTCGATATCATTAAGATCGTATCGACCAGGAAGAAACGTGGCTAGAAAATTGGTTAATTATCGAAATCGCGATATCGAAAATTCTAATTGATCGAAAGTTTTGATTATCTTGACATATCATTTATCGAATTAACATCGTTATGATACTTCTCGCTATGAATGCGGCTTTGACTAAATCTATTTTGTATAGCTAATTTTATTTTTTCGACGCTGTTAGAGATCTATTTAAATAATTTTTGATGACACAATTTTGTTAATCAAACGTTGCGTTAAGTGTTTCGATGATGCTCCGATATCGCGCGCGTGTTCCGATATGAAACCTTCTTAATTCAATGAGAAGAAAATGATTAGAAAATGATTAGAAAATATTGTAATACGTACTTTTGTAGTTACGATAAATTAGCGACAGATGTGAACAGCATTCAGTAGCAATTTGGTTCAGTTGGATTTTATTCCACTGAATCACCACTAATCTTTGAAGTCTTCTGGCGCTTTTCGCCACCACTGGTCACCTCAACATTAGCATTTGACAAGACACAAGACACCGAAAATTTGTGTTCATTGTCCTCGAATAACCACAGATTATAAAATAACACCACCAAATTCCACGGTCAATCCAACACACTAGAAGGCTATTTTCCACAATGTATACATTTCTAAATAAGGTCTCTTGCCGCTATTGCCATGTGTCAAGTTTTCTATCCGAAAAGATATCCTCTCGACATCGAAGAGAAATCACCACTGACAGTATCGAACGGTTTGAACCTCCAAGTTGAACCGCATCAGTCCGTGTGCCTCTTGATTGCACCTTGCCGCGACTAGTTTCGTGCAAAAGGTCGCGAACCGACGACGGCGAGTGCGAATTCTCGCGACTGGTGCGACCGGATAACGGAAGAAAATGAAGACTCTTGACGCGCCGATGACCGTTAGGTGAATGACTTTGGTAGGCGAGGGTGTCCACGTCGATTCTTGAATCGGCCCCCACTTCTGCACATTTATTTTCCACGGTCCCACTTGGATCGAGTTTCCGTTCGCTCGCTCGTCTGCCGCACGGCACGGCTCGCTCTCGTAAGTGTTTCTCGAATGGGCCTTATAGGCATACTGTGCGTCGGATCGGCACCGTCTATCCAAGTGGTACAGGTGGGTTGCGGTCCTGTCGTAGCTTCGGTGGGGGTTTTGCTGGACGACCGGATAATCCTTCTATACTACGCGGTGGGGGTTGACGAGGGAGGGGCCTCAACTTTTTACCCTTTCCTCTCGTCTTTTCCTACTCCTTTCTTTGCATCTTCTCCTACCCTTTGTGTGAATCTTAGATATCTACCTACAACATGCGACCTCAGACTCTCGAAGCAGAGCCTTTGCGAGATATGAACAAGTTTGATTTTTCTTTTTTTTTTTTTTTTTTCTAAAGAAAATAAGGATTTGTGATTTTCTATTTTATATGTTTTCGGTGCTATATTGATTCATATAAAAATCGATAGCTAAATTCAAAAGAAAACCCATAGGTATAGAAGATTATTGTTTATAAAATAAATTTCAGAGACGAGCTTCGATTTTATTTGAATATAATGATACTACAAAAATGATATTACCACATACTAACTCTCAATTTTGTATATTTTCATTATTAAAATTTTAACTTGTAATTTTCATATAATCGTTTTTTATATTGGAAAAATAAATCTTAAAAAATTTTTACAAGTTTTCTTTTACTTTTTTAAAGTAGCTAAAACTTACAATGATATAAAGAAGAACTCGGTTGAAATCAATTGCATATTCTTTGAACTTAATTAATTTTTATATTTTTTTATGTATATTTCAATTTTAAGTATATAAAAATTTTAAGAAAAAAATCTTTAATTACAATGAGTTACTTTTTTTTTTGCAATGTCAACTTGATGTCAGCACGTATTAGGGTCATTTTCGTGTTTTTTTTTAAATATTAACATGGGAAACTCTTTAAGCAATAGTAACAATGACGACACGTAGAAATTTCACTTCTATATCAAGGAAATAATTACAGCATTTTGTTTTACGTAATAGTTTGCTAGAATTTAAAATGTGACATTTAATACAAAATGCGTCGATGTGCTGTGCGTTAAAATAGCTACACGTTTTTATATGATTTGAATATATTACGTACTTACACTACACGTGTAGTAAAATGATTCTAAAGACACGTCTTTTGAAGAAACGATCGTGATAACACCTGGCGATCTCGGATTGTGCTCGATGGCAAATAAATTCAATGCTAATGTTCGATCGCTCGTTTGTATGCCAGGAATTTCTGTCGGTATTTTCTCTTAAAACGTGCCGCTTTTCTGATATCTGCCTATGCCGAATGATATTTTGTAAAACGAAGTTACTGCAATCAAAAATATAAAATTTTCATCGTCACCAGGTGTGGTCAGAAAGTGATATAAATTAGCCTTAAGGTCATAAAGATCGACTAATTAATGATGATTAACCGAATTCTAGACATATTCAAAATAGTGATAAATATTACTGAAATTGATAATGTGGACTTAATAGATTTTTCTATTATGCCGTCTTTTTTTTAATAACCGAGTTAGTATTGTCTGAAAGTTGATGTTGCCTAAAACAAATACTTTATTGATATAAAAGAAGTAAATTTTATTCCTAAAGTTATCTATAGGTACATTAAATATACTAATAATAATAATGTCTACAAGTCTCTCTTTCAAATGTATTAAGTACATTAGATTTCTAGTAGCTTTTTTTAAGTTTTATATTAAACATCTCCGCTTTTGTTTACAAATCTATATTACGATTGCTATCATTTTTTGAAGTATTTTAGATATCTTCGTTTCTTTTGTTTTGTATTTAGTGAGTATTTTGTTTTGTGTTTAGTATTTGTGCTTATTTCTTGTAGTTGTTTATAGAATATTCGAAAAAATATATAAAATATTAAAGACAATATGAAAAAACATTGAAGACTGCCTAGAAATATCTATTATTTTCTTGTTATATATTCTTTGTTCTACGAGGAAAATAAAATATGCATAAGAGAAAGAAGTATACATAATTTAAAACAAAATTAATGATATAATGCAACAAATATATCAGATAAATATATAACAAATGTAATATTAAACGATACAGTCAATCAGTTAACTACATTCTTAAAACTTTCGTACTTTTAACCAAATTTTGATGTAGCTTGAAATTTTAGGAATAAAAATGGAGATGAAAAGCAAAAGCAATAAACAATATAATCCAATGTTATTATATTTTGTCTCGAAATGGTTTAAAATGTTGTAAAGCGATGGTGACAGCTATCGAATTACTTGAATTATTCCTTGGCCTTTTACGATATAAAAATTGCTTATGTTTAATTAAAAATCATATGTTTAACAGTAACGTTATAAAATGGGTCTGTATTTAGAATGAACATTTGAAACATTTGCTCTCGTTTTGAAGTCCGTATTCATATCGAGGTTCTCGGACAAATACATCTATGAATAGAATCCTTTCCTTTTTACCTGAATACTATTATTTTGGATATTTCATAGTCGAATAGCCGTTTAAAGAAAGAAAGTTAAAACGAGATCATTTTTCTTACTTATAAGGACATTTTTGACAATTGGAGAACACAAAGATTGAACATTGAAATATTATTATTGTATAGTAAATAGTATATAAAGAAGAGTGACTTGCAAAATATTTCAAATTTTTATTAGTTTTTATTCTTATTCTTTGATCTGTTTGAGAATGTATGTATGAAAGGATTAACCCTGGACTTAAGAAAATCTCGATGATAAATGTAGCATTATGTATTCCGTTTTCGAAGTCATTATAATGTCGCATAAATGATCTTGCTCGCTTTCCTTTCGCCTGTTTCGAGTAAGGCTGCATCTCTTAAAGAAGCTACTCATCTAGCCCCTGGCTGAAAATTTACCTCACGAAACCCTCGTTTGCGTTTAACATAAGGTTCGAGCGAAACGGATACATAGAAAAGTTTTTCCTCCCCTTTGCTTCTCCCATCTTTTTTTTTGCGCGCGAACAGGTCTCGCAATTACGTTCCGATGAAAAGTAATTGCACAACCCACGCTTCGTGACCTTTCCTCAACTTTATTGTAGGCCACATGCACTCCTCAAAACACGCCGCTTATTCCACGATGGGATGATGCGCGGAGGCTGAGGAGAGTAACACGCAACTCAAATATATCGCTGACTACAGATGGAGCCATAGGTTTAACATCGACTATGGATTTCCCGCCTATTACCCATCTCTCCTCTGTGCCTCTCACTATCTCGATCGCGCGCACGCTTTGCATGTATCTCTGCGGTTTTCTGTTAAATTTATATATTTTTCGTTTATGTCATTTGTACACAAATTTAGCACGAAGCATATGTAAGGTAGGTACGTAATCAAATTATCATCTTAATGATTGACGATTGGAGGGCGGGAAAATAGTTTTAAGAATATTTTAAGTATTATATCGCGAAAGAAGAAAAAATAAAATGGCAATATAAAATATTTAATAGTTAAATATTGTGATAAGCTAATTACTGTCAAAGGTATTTTAAATTTTAAAATTTTAAAAGCCAAGTTCGTTTATATACTTGGTACAATCGTAGATATAATTTGTTTCCGTTTCTTACGAGATAGAAATAAATTGCGGAACGCACACGAGCGTGACTGGACTTGTGCAGTAACTGGAACACTAATCACACATATTTCATATAATCGTATTGTAAGATCACTAATTAGACCAGTGTAACTTTGTGGCTGTTGTATTAGTATTTCCATAAGAAAGAGCCAGTCAAGATGGCTCGTTGGTCTAGGGGTATGATTCTCGCTTCGGGTGCGAGAGGTCCCGGGTTCAAATCCCGGACGAGCCCGTGGAATAATTTATTTTTGCTTCCTTTTTCTAATTATACATCACTGTGAATAACATACATATATCACATTTGATCAGATTTGATCAGATATAATTTTAGAGATCGTATTTTTTTTATTTTAAAGAATTAGATCTGTCTATAAAAAAATATTGAATTATTACACTCTTCAATTTTTTTGGCGTGACGTAAGTAATTAATTATATACTATTTATCAACGTCAATTAATTTCTTATCTGCGCACAAGAAAAATAGAAATACTAAGAATGATACCTCGACGTATTGCGTAAGCGAATGTTATTAGTCGCTTCATGTACAAAGTGGACAATTAATATTCAGGTCACGTTGGTGCCTAGCCAGGGTAACGCCCTTTTTTTAGCACAATGAGGACCTGAATAATCCCTGAATTATATCTCGTTAATGATCCGGATTTGTGTTAGGACATAGGCGCGCTACGCGGTGCCCTCTAATTCGAACACCGGCTTCTTTGATGTTCTAATGCGTTTCTAAAGATATATTTTTTTATTTGGCCAATAACGGGACATCCATTCTGACTTGCCCTCTTAAGGGCAGGGTATCGTCACGTATAAAATCGTGCTAAACTCTCTCTAAACTCTCTACTTTTTTTAATCCTAAAACGTAATGAGTCTTATTATGAAATTGAGAAATGATGTTACAGTAAATGAATTTTGTTACACATTATATGATCATTTCTTTATATTAAATCAGTTGTATCTCAACCTTTCCTATTCTACAATAAACTGAATATTGCGATATATATCTACTCATCATTTTTTATTCGTAACATTGGAAACACGTGTAATTCTTTTTGACAATGAACTTATTTATGCTGACTAGATCTAAATAAATGCTGACACGTAGTTAATTAACATTATACATATATGCCACGTAAAGGCAGTGCACGACGAAACAGTTTCACGAATAAGACACGCGATATTAAAGGATCTTGACGAAAAAGAATTTTGTTTCGTAGATTATCGCGGGTGTGCAGAACGAAGATACGCGTCCTGCGATCCTCGTTGTGATCGATTGCCAGTCCGTTAACGATGACGTAGTTTCTAAAATCATCAAAGTGCCCGTTGCCACTTGGCTCTCGCCTTAATCGCATGTCAGATATTATTGCGGTGTAATCAACATCAGGTATAGCGCGAGCAGCAACAATTATTCCTTTCTCCGACGCGTAGTGACGGAAACGAGCGTACCACGTGGACGAAACTCGTTTTGTTGATCCCGGTATGTTTCCGGTGAAC